GGGGAGTGCTTCGCCAAATGGAATCGGCACGTTGTGCTGTCGTTTCGTAGTGTTATCTTTTCCCTCCTGTCATTGACGCGTGGATTGATGGCACAACTAACAAGTCCTTCATCTTCTTCAAGCCTTTCAGGGAGCCTTCAAACTGTTGCACACATATATGAAAAACTAAACAGCACTGCTGAATAAAAACACAAAATCTGTTTACCTATTGGCGGACATTTATTCATTTCCGTGACAATTTGGCAGAGGCGACAATCATGGCAAAGCCCGGATGTTCTAGAGTGACTGACATAAAAACTGACGTATCTGGCTGAGACCGCTGTCGATGGCTACTCATCGCAGACGGTGAGATAGTCGCCCTGGCAGAGAGCCCAGTTGATGACGTGGTGGATGTAATTATCCTCCACACTGCCGCGCAACAGGTGGGCTCCGGAGCCGCGGGCGAAGATGCCGACATAATCTCCGCCGTGTGTCTCGTTCGGCAGGTAAATGCCGGCCACCTGCTTGTAGTGCGGGTCACGCCACTCAGCGTCCGGACCGGTCTGCATGAGACCGGAGCGCTTGGCGTCCAGCTCTTCCTTGGTCCGAGCGCCGCCCGGACCGTTGGCGTACTGCAGGATCGAGTAGGGCAGCTTGGGCGGCGGGCCACTCTTCTGCATGCCGCCGGCCAGGAAGGAGGCAGGGCCGAACATGTCCAGGCCGCGCTCCGGGTAGCCGTTGATGGTGAAGGTGTGAGCGTGGTCAGAGGAGACAACGATGAGGGTGTCCTCAATGTCGGTGTGGTCCGTAGCGTACTGGACGACCTCCTCCAGTTCCACCGTCTCGTCAATGGCCGTGTAGGCATTGCTGTAGTGATGTCCGTGATCGATCTTCACACCCTCCAGGAAGAGAACGAAATCGTTGGGACCGCGCTTCAGGATCTCCAGGGCCTTCTTCACCATCGGTCAGGCTGACGTCGTTGGCGGTCTGGAAGGCGCGGTACTGCATGTGGCTGCGGCTGAACAGACCAAGCACGTAGTCGGCAGAGGCGGCGTCGAGGCTGTTCAGCTCGGCCTTGGTGCTGATGTAGGCGTGGCTACGTCCCAGGGACTCCTGCTTGTCCTTCCACTCCTGGATCAGGTCGCGGCCATCTAGGCGGGTACCGCCCTCAATCTTCTTGGGGGTAAACTTGCCCCAGCCGCCGTCAAAGGCAACATTGATGTCAATGCCCCTACGCTCGACGAACTGTGTGGTTAAGTCCTTCATGACGTTCTTGCACAAGTCCTGGACGGGGCCGGTCATCCACTCCATGGCGGCGAAGTCGACATCCGACTCCCAGGTACGGTAGGCTGTGTGGCCGAAAGTGGCCGCGGGAGAGGCGTACGTGATACGGGCGGTGGACACCAGACCGACCCACTTACCGGCCTCCACTCCGTAACGGAGGATCGACTTGGGCGACGACGCCTCGTTGAGGGCGTCGCAGTTCCAGATGAGGACAGAGCAGTCGACACCGACCGTGAGGAAGTTGCCCTTGGCGCCGGTCAGGTAGGCGGTGGCGGTGGAGGCAGAGTCGGCTGTACAGCGGTCGCAGTTGTACGTCTTGGAGAGGCCGGTGTAGGGGAACATCTCCCAAGAGAGCATGGTGTGCTCGGGCACGTCGGCACCGTACAGCAGACCCTTCTACTTCCGGGCGGCGGCCAGCGTGTGGATGGACATGCCGTCACCAATAAACAGGATCGCGTTTTTGGCTTGCTTGTGGTACACCTTGTCGCTTAGCTTGGTCTGGATGATGTCCTGAGCAATGCTCTTCCAGAAGACCGAATTCATGACCTGACCGGAACGGGAGAGGGACGCGCTGCTTCCTAGCCCCATCTCGGCCTGGACCTCCTGGTAGGTGGGCTCCCACATTTCGTGCATCTCCAGCTCGTCCTGGTCGACCCTGGAGTCGAGGGGCACGGAGGCCACGAGGGCCAGCAGGCTGGCGGCCACGAACAGTTTCATCCTTACGTTTTGGCCGTCTGTCCCTCAGACGATGTTGTTGGCTGGCTGAGCCCAGCTTTTATGCTGGCAACATCTGACCTCACAGGTGGGGACAATCAGCCTTGTGGTCGCGCAAATGCTAGTGTTCCGAAACGTGACTGTGGGGCATTTGACACTCGATTAAATGGGGAACAAACCTTTATTTCGTTGTTTTACTGCGTCTTGCTTTTCGTAATGTAGAGACCAAAGTGATGCTTGCAAGACGTGGCGATGTCAGGTCATGTTTTGAGGCAAGCAACGTTGTGTTTGGCATCTTCAGGTGATTTAATGGTCAGGCACTACTAAATGTCGAATGCATGCAATGTCAAGCTTGCAGTCAGTTGTACCTAATGGTGAATCTGCAATGCCCTCTTTCGGGCTGAGTCCCAGCTTCGTAAGGGCGTGGCAAGGCGCACTCACTTTTGGGTTCTAGAAAGGGATCGATCTTTTTTTCTGATTTAGATGTTTGTTTGACATGATGGTTACTGGAACAGGAATGCTTGATATTGGTAACGACTGTTCTTTTCTTTTTTGCACGGAAATGTTTTTGCCGTCCCGTCATGAGTTATGCAGCCATGCCTGGAAGGAATTTTTTGACACTCTTCTGCGACGATGCTAATGGAACCGGCTGGTAACAGCCGCCTACGGTCTGCCGTCGGTGACTTCTGCGCACTTTTCAACGCTCCAGAAGCACAATTCGCCAACCGGGCCGTTTAGCCGAACCGTTAAAACCAATCGGTTTATGGCCGACGGATAAGGCTTTTTCTGCATTAAATAGCTGGTTGGTTTTGTTGTTTGGATTAGAGCCCTTCCAACAAAAAAATGATCATTTCATGGCTATGGTATGAACGAATATGGTTCAAGGTGGGGCAAACTTGCACGCGCATTGGGGGCCAATTGCCGAGCTTTAACCCGCGCACGCCCGCTGGGTACCCGGTAGGGGTCCCCCTTCCCACGGGGCTCTCGGCCCACTCGCGGCTGACGCATGCACCAGGCCCCGGACAAGCGGGGCGTCGCAAGGATGCAGGGTGAGGTAAGATGGAGGATAGGAGGGTCGAATGCGCATTAAATAGTCATAGCTTCTTTTTCAGCTTCTTCTTCTCTTCCAACTCTTCTCGAGTTATATTCTTGGAGAAACTTTTAAGTATCACGTTACGAAAATGGAATGATTCCTATGTGTCTATATATGAAATGACGTTATCTTAAGAACCAATCTTAGACGCAGATGATAAATTCTGTCATTTGTTCGATATCAAATATTGTTGTGGATTAAATACATGTTGTACATCAACACATAGTTTCTGTGATCTGTCTAACAAAGATTGTCAGATGCCTATGCGAAGGCGCGCAGGTCGGTGGCTCGGTTGCAAAATTTGCTCGCATACACTCCTTCGCGTTCTCCAGAATGGCTGATGCGTGTCCTGTACAGCACTTCTTTGATTGGATAAGGTCATGGGTACCTATATTTAATGAGCAGCGGTTTGGGTTGGGTACATTTGGGAACAACCGCAGGTGTTGGCACGGGCATAATTACGATGCTAAGAAAATGTCGGGTGAATACTTGGAGAAGTGTTACAAAATGTTACTGCTTGCATTTTTCTTAGTGAAAATGGATCAGTTTGTTTCACATGTCAACAACACTTTCGCAACTATTACATTATCCCAAAAGCGTAGGTTTGGAGGGTAAACCAGCACTGGAGCTTTTCAAAAATTATGAACTTAAGTGTTGAAAACTGCAAAGGAATGGTCACCGAGCGTGTACAACTGATAATGAATGGGTAGCCTGTGGCATGCACGCAACGCCGAGGTCAAGGGATGGATGGGAAAAAACATATTTTTGCGATAATTTTTTTTAAATGTCAGGCACAGGCATCTTGGCAACTACTTTTTTGCTGCTCAGCACAAGTGGACGGCAAGGGAAAGGTGTGGATCTCTTGGGACACCGCCCCACCAGTTAAGTTGAACCTATGTGACCCAAGAAGTCTGCAGGTCGCGGGCAACAAACATCAAGCAGCGCCAGGCTGTTAGATAATTAATCACGAGCACACGGCATACAGTACTGCAAGACGGCGACAGACGCGTGAAATGCGGTGCACCACATCTCTGTCAAGTGTTCAGTGCCTATCCATACCAAACACCATAGCCTATCCAATCATTACTCAATCATGTGCTATTAACCCTGATCATACAGGTGCCCACAATTCTAGCTACCTCGTATAAAACGAACCGTGGTCTGAGTAAGGATACATTCTCACTGAGCACAGTGAGACCGTGTTACCCAGCATCGGATACGCCATGAAGCTGTTTGTGACTGCCTGTCTGGTGGCGCTGGCCGCAGCCGTGCCGCTCGACTCCCGCGTGGAAGACCAAGACGAGCTTGAGATGCACGAGATGTGGGCGCCCACCTACCAGGAGGTGCAAGAGAAGGCCGGCCTGGGCGCCGGCCGCGCCCTCACTCTCTCCCGCTCCGGACAGGTGCTGGACCAGACCTTCTGGAAGAAAATCGCCCAGGACATCCTGCGCACCAAGCTGGCTGACCCCGTGTACGACTACCAGGCCAAGAACGCCGTGCTTTTCATCGGCGACGGCATGTCGATCCCCACGCTGGTCGCCGCCCGGAAACGCAAGGGCCTGCAGCACGGCGCCGACGTGCCCGAGCACACCATGCTCTCATGGGAGACCTTCCCTTACCTGGGCCTGTCCAAGACCTACAACTGCGACCGCTGGACGGCCGACTCCGTCTCCACCGCCACCGCCTACCTGACCGGCGCCAAGGGCAACTTCCTCACGGTCGGTGTCGACTGCTCCGTCCTCATCTGGAACTGCGACGCTGTCAACGAGGCGTCGTCGCCCAAGTCGATCCTCTGTCACGGAGTGGAGGCCGGTAGGTGGGTCCGTCTGGTGTCCACCGCCCGTATCACGCACGCCTCTCCCGCGGCCACCTTCGGCCACACCGTCTACGCACCTGGGAGTCGGATGCCGACTTCGCCGCCATGGAGTGGATGACCGGCCCTGTCAAGGACTCGTGCAAGGATGTCATGAAGGACTTGTCCACACAGTTCGTCGAGCGTGAGGGCATTGACATCAATGTTGCCTTTGGCGGCGGCTGGGACAAATTTACCCCCAAGGAGGTCGAGGGCGGATCCCGCGTGGATGGCCGCGACCTGATCCAGGAGTGGAAGGACAAGCAGGAGTCCCTGGGACGCAGCCACGCCTACATCAACACCAAGGCGGAGCTGAACAGCTTTGACGCCACTTCTGCCGACTACGTGTTGGGTCTGTTCAGCCGCAGCCACATGCAGTACCGCGCCTTCCAGACCGACGACGACGTCAACCTGACCGAGATGGTGAAGAAGGCCTTGGAGATCCTGAAGCGCGGACCCAATGGCTTTGTCATGTTCGTGGAGGGCGCCAAGATCGATCACGGACATCACTACGGCAACGCCTACACGGCCATCGACGAGACGGTGGAGCTGGAGGAGGTCGTCCAGCACGTCATGGACAACACCGACATTGAGGACACCCTCATCGTTGTCTCCTCTGACCACTCCCATACCTTCTCCATCAACGGCTACCCGGAGCGCGGCCTGGACATGTTCGGCCCTGCCTCCTTCCTGGCCAGCGGCATGCAGAAGGGTGGCCCGCCGCCCGAGCTGCCCTACCCGACCATGCAGTACGCCAACGGTCCGGGTGGCTCCGAGGACTGGGCTGAGTTCGAGGCTAAGCGGGCTCGCCTCGCCGACATGACGCCGGAGGCCGAGTGGCGTGACCCGCATTACAAGCAGGTGGCCGGCATCTACCTGCACAAGGAGACGCACAGCGGTGAGGACGTGGGCATCTTTGCTCGCGGCCCTGGAGCCCACCTGCTACGCGGTAGCTTGGAGGAGAACGTCATTCACTACGTCATCAACTACGCCCTCTGCCAGGGCGACTACGCCACCATCTGCGACAAGAAATAAGCCGATGGCCTGAAGTGTACATCGCGGCAAGACACCAGCATAATAACTGAGATGAGCACTGATGGTTTCACGTTGGCACGTGCATGTCAGGTTCCGTAAATACGCAAAAATACATGCGAGATTCAGGATTGAAAGCTGTTTTGCTCTTGTCACTACGAACCACACTGGCCACCGCTGTTCAAGTTGGATGGTGTCTTAGGCAGAGCCAGCTGCAGTGATCATTTTTTCGCGCAGCACACTGGCCACTGACCCAATGCCGACCTGGGTCATTGGTCAAACGTACGATCATTGGTAACGGCGGCACGCACTCGGCTGCAGTCATTACTGGAAAAAAGGAGCAATGAAACTGCAATTTAGCGATTGCTGGAGCAGCATCCACTTTAGCCGGGCTGTTCGCAATGCGTTTTGTTGAAATCGTGGAATTTTCAAACGTATATGACACCTTGTACAGTCGTGCACTCAGACAGTACTGTTTCATTAGTGCAAGTTTTGTTATAAGGACGGCCAAACATATATTTAATCATGCGTTTGCCCTATTGTTCGAATAAAAGCCTTTGTTGTTTTCGGTGCCATAAATCTGTTCACTTATCGCCATTTCTATACAATGAAAGAAAATTGCATACAGTGTAGGTCAGTCAGACGCACAACATTCGAACAGGGCGAAATACGAGGCACGTTCTACGGGATGTAATTTAAGGTATACTACCAGTTAACAGCCTATACGTCCAAGCACCAGGTCAAAGTACAAAGCACATATATGCGCCAAACATTTTCCAGCCTAGCTGACACCATGGCAAGTTCAAGACATTGAATCCTCCTGCTGCCAATGAGTGAGTGAATAGGTCCAACATGCTGTCTGCTCTAAGCTATTTGTTTAATACGCGCCAGAGTGAGGGTATTCCAATTGACTGCGCAAATGTTTTTTCCCAGATTGATTTGCGAACAGCGCGGCGTGGCCAAGTCAAACTTTGCACAGCTGCATGGAACTGAAAAGTGAATTGGTTGATGTAAAAGGGATGGTGTCGGGCTATGAACGATTATATTGTAGGCCAGCTTTGTTCCCACAATGACAGCGTGTGCACATTTTCTCCAGTCAGTTCTGACCTTTTTCTTAGCCAATCTATGCTTGATCACACAGAATAGCTTGACTTCAGACCGCTCGCTGGCGCGGAGGGCGCGATGTGGATGACAAAACGCCCCGCCGCAGCAGAACATGCGTGCCACTGCGGCTATACGGTCGAGCCACTCGGTCGCCCCATGCAGCACGAGCAGTGTTGGATCGGCTGCGAGTCGCCCCACCACGCCTCTCCCCGACTCAAAGGACACGAGCACGCGCACAGGGAACCGGTGACGCAGTAACACGAGTCGCCAGCGGCGGTCCAGCCTGGACGGTCTCCTCCGGCCATGTCGCCGCCGAGCTAGTCATTAATAAACCGCATTTAAAACACAGATATCCGTCAAATTATACACGACGGCCATGTTCGTTCAAGACTAGTGCGGCGAATTCACAGTTTCTAGGCGTACCATACCAATGCAACCTTAGCTAGCAGAGAGCCGGTTAAGTGATGCGTGACAAGCTAATTAATTCCGACACGAAATTGATAAATATAATATTTTCTCGTTGATCGTTAAAAATACCGACGCCATCCTGATTGGCATTGTAAGTTTGATCGCACCAAGGATCTAAAGCTTTCAAATTGGGTTTGGACAGTCTGGACTGTCTGTCGGGTAATGATGCGCTTGGAGGGGTGTCCCATGACAAATCACAGGGCTATAACACCTAATATTTTGCATTTTGACAACTTTTTCAGGGATTGCTTCGAGCCCTGAACCCATCTGTGCGGGTTTCAGAAATGTCAAAGTGACGGTTGAAGAGTCATAGTTTCGGGTATTTTTAGCAGGTTAATCATGGTATGGTAGAGTCCGTAATTCAATCTGGAATTGCTTAAATCGTACTCGTGCAGACCTATATGTCTCTCAACTCGCAACGAGCGGGTGCGTCATTTGGCAAGCTCTACGTTGTTGTTTGCTGGTTTTTCAGCATTGTGACATCGTGACAAAAATCCACATGACCTTTTTTGTTCTTTCAGATATTCACAAAGCTAGCTTGTCTCATGCAGAAATTAGGAGCAACGGCTTTTCCATCAAACGCGAAAGTAAAGGAAAGAGTTTTTATGTAAAATGTTACACACATGTTTCGACCTTCGCATAGCAGCCGTTTTCGGTATGATTAAAAACGCGCTCAGCAGTAATATCTTTAAAGGATGCAATTTTACTGAAGCAAGAGCCGTTATGGTCAATCGTACTATTTGATGGGATGCTGGATCATTTGGTCGCATTGTTGTCATAAAAATGTGCTAAAGCTTAGGAATAAGGGCTGGGTTGGGCCGTGGGGGTGGGGTGGGGGAGCTCCCGATTGCCCACATATTGACAATTGCAGTCAGTGTGGTGTAATTGTGCGGGGTGTGCACCCTCGCCCTCGCTGTCTTCCAAGCTTTACATCTGGCTGGGTGCCGGGGGGCGTCACGTGACTGCGGGTCTCCCGATTCGCCGGGCGTCAAGGGTCGGCCGCTGAGGCAGCGGCAGGGACCCGACGCTCGCAGGCGCCAGTCGGTCTTTGGACAAGTCCAGGCGAATAAACGCTACGTTCTCTTCCAAGCTATTTCGACCATCATGCCCGAAACCGCCGCGACCAGTGGCAGCTCTGTGACAACGGCTGCTGCGAATGTCCCAGCGCCAGTGATGTCGACTACTACGGCCGTAGTGGACAGAAGGGCCACGGTGACTGGTAGAGGCCCATTCCACGCGCGGCTCAGCCCGAGTACGATGGCACGGCCGACGTCGTAGAGTGGTTCACGAGGGTGGCCGTGCTCTGCCGTCATCGTGGAGCGGTCTTGCCCAACATTCTACCGGCGCGACTCACGGGTGGCGCGTTTGCCGTCTGGCTGCAGATGCCGGAGGAGGCGCGCGCATCGAGTGACGCCGTGCGTGACGCTCTCTATCACGCCTTTGCGCTGGATCGGTTTCCCGCGTACGACGCAAATACTACCCGACGGCTGCTGCCTGGTGAGTCGCCTGACGTGTTCCTGGCGGGCATACGGCTTCTCGCAGCTCTGTGCGGTGGGGTTCCGGAAAACGTGCTCAAGTGCACTTTTGTCGCCGACCTGCCCGACGAGGTGCAGAGGACTGTCCGCGCTGGCTCCCGGGCGGAGGCTCCGAATCTTGCGAGCATCCTGGTGCGAGCCCGGGCAGTGCTGAGCAACGAACGTGTCAGTGCGGCAGCGGCAGCGGCTGGAGCGCACGAAGAACGAGGAACCCGACAGGCGCGTCCGGCAGGGCGACCTGTCCGGAAGTGCTGAACCTGCGGACAGGCGGGTCACCTGGCAGCGGCGTGTCCAAACGGGCAGGAGGCTGCGTTGGCGCCAGCGCAGTCCCCCGAGGAGAAGCGCGCGCGATCAGCGGTGATCAGCCGGGGAGTGCTCGCCTATGCGGACGACCTGCTGGTCGACGAAGACATGGCCAGCGCCGACAAGGTGGTCGAGCACTGCGAGGTACGGGCTGGTCTGCAAGCCGCCGGAGCACGTCGCGGACGGAGCGCGAATGCTCGGCCTTCAAGTCGAGGCTCGGGATGATGAGCTGAGGTGGTGTCGAGACAATGAGTTACCTCCACCGCCGACCGAGCTCACCCGGCGTGCGGTGTTTGCGTGGTGGGGGCAGTTGGTGGCGCACCTCCCCGTGGCGGGATGGTTGCGGCCAGCAGCTGCATGGCTAAAGAGGCGAGTGAACGGCCTGACGATCGGGTGGGAGGACCCAGTGTCGGATGATGCGTTGCGCGCGCATATACGGGAAGTCGCAACGCGGGTGAGGGCAGCTGACCCTGTTCGTTGGCCGTGGCGAATGGTCGGCCCGGAGCTCGTGGGGTGGACTGACGCGAGCGCCATCGCGAACGGGGATGCTTGGTGGATGCGGAGAGCGGCGTTCTCGAGGATGCCGCGTGACCCCGGCCGGAGTCCAAGGCGGCGGACCACATCGACATGGCCGAGTTAGACGCGGCGATGAGTGGCGTGAACATGGCCCTGGCATGGGGCGTTAAGCGCTTCAGCTTACACACGGACCCGGCCACAGTGTTCAAGCGGTTGAGTGACGCCTTGAGCGGACGCTCTCGTCTCAGAACAAAGGCGCAAGGGGATACTGATCAGGCGCAAAATTGGCCTCATGCGACAGTTGGTCGACGAGTTCCAGCTCTCGGTGACCCCCCAGCTGATGCGGTCACCGGACAATCCTGCCGACGCGCTCACCTGAGTTCCCCAGACCTGGCTGCGAGCAGAGCCTCGAGATGCGACTTAGCCGCAGCAGCCGCCGCGCCAAAATGGGACCCCCGCGAAATGCGACTTCGGTCTCTGCGACTATCGGGCCGGAAGAAGTCGCGGCGCCCCCGGCGGGCCAAGAAGCCGCTCACGAGCCCACGGCAAGCGACGTTCGTGCATACACGAACGGGCGGAGCACCAGGGGATCCGCTGGTCCCTGTGGTACGCAAGACGGGACCTCGGCGGACACGTCGCACGGGCCGACGTGCGAGCCGTCGTCAGCCAGTGCGATGTGTACCGTTCGATTGACCCGGCGCCGACTCGCTGGCGGTCCGGCTCACTCGGCGTCCCGACAACGTGGACCCGACTCGCGATCGACGTGACCCATTGCCAAGGCCGCCTCTACCTCACGATCGTAGACTGCGGGCCGTCCCGGTACAGCATTTGGAGCGCACTACGACGGTCTGACGCGGCGGAGGTGACGGATCATCTGCATCGAGGGTTCCTAGAACGTGGCGCGTCGGCTGAGCTTCTGTTGGACAATGCCACTGAATTCCGGAGCCGGCGAATGGCTGCATTCGCCGCGAAGTGGGGGGTTCGGCTGCGGTTTCGCGCAGCGCACAAGGCCGGCGGCAACGGAATTGGGGAGCGCCACCACCCAACTATAAAGGTGATGGCCGCCCGCCAACGGTG